TATTCTTCGTATTATTCTTCTTATGCTTAGTATTATTCTTCTTCTTATTATTATTATCATTATTAGTAGTAGTATTATTATTAGTATTCGTATTAGTATTATTATTATTAGTAGTATTGTTATTGTTGTTAATCTTATTTTGATTCGTGTTATTATTAGTGTTAGTATTATTAGTATTAGCATTACGAGTATTATTAGTGTTATTAGTATGATTAGTAGTATTAGTAGTAGTACTATTATTATTAGTATTATTATTATCACTATTATTATTAGTATTATTATTATTATTAATAATAATGATAATACTATTATTAGTATTCTCATTATTCCCATCATTATTATCATTATTAGTATTATTATTTTTATTATTGTTGTGCTTGTTAGTATTATTCTTCTTCCTCTTCCTCCTCTCTCCTCCTCCTCCTGCTCCTCCCCCTCCTCCCCCCCTTCTCCATCCTCCCCCTCCTCCGCCTCCTCCTCCCCTCCTCCTCCTCCTCCGTCCCCTCCTCCTCCCCCTCCTCCCCCTCCCCCCCGCTCCTCCCCCTCCTCCCCCTCTCCCCCTCCTCCCCCTCCTCCTCCTCCTCCTCCCCCCCTCCTCCTCCTCCTCCTCCTCCTTCTTCCTCCCCTCCCCTCCTCCCTCCTCCTCCTCCCCCTCCCCTTCCTCCTCCTCCTCCTCCTCCTCCCCCCTCCTCCTCCTCACGGCCTGCTCGCCGCCCGACGAGCCGGGCGGCCCGAGAAAGCAGCGGGGGCGGCCAGCCACAGTGGCACCGAGGCACGAAGGGTCCGAGGCATGAAGCGGAAGGTCACCAGGTCTTGTTTGCTTCGGAGTCCTCTCTGCACGCGTGGGGTGCTGTGGTGGTTTTCGCGGGGCCCAGAACCTCAACTCCTGTTCTTCTTCCTCCTCCTCCCCCTCCTCCTCCCCTTCCTCCTGTTCTCTCTCTCTCTCTCTCGATCTCATCGCTCATGATGGGGTATCGCTGACGTGTTCCCAATCATCCGTTAAGCTGTGAATCTGGCATCACATGTGAAGGTCATTTTCAGTTGAAGTGCCCCTCCCGGTCTCGTGGCGGCTTTCTGAACACTTGTTCCTCGTGGCGGGGTCCTACGCTTCCTGGGGATTTGGCGGCTTCCGTGCTCGCTTTCCAAGAACCGCGAGCCTTGAGAGCGACCCATCGGCGCGCAACTGGGGCTCCACCCCAGAGTCCGTCTCCGCGGGGATGCAGGAGCGGTGTGATTCGGCGAGTGTCGGAGTGATGAGGGAGGGGAACTCTGCGCTCGCGAATCCGCGAGAAAGCCGAATCTTGGACTCACTGCTGGGGGCGTGCGGCACCCCAAGCATGCTGCAGGCCCAAGAGAGTCAGGACAAGTCCGCCGCTAGAACCGCGATGGACAGCTCCAGCTGCGGTTGGAGGTGCCGGTGTGGGCAGCCTAGAGAGCGACCCGTCGATTTGCAACTGGGCCCAACAACAAAAAAAAAGCCGGGGCTCGACCCCAGCGTCCGTCTCCACGGAGTGCTGGCAGAGGAATGGAGGGTGGACGGGCAGGGGGTTGGGTGGGGACGGGGAAGAACTCTGCGCTCGGGAGTCCGCGAGAGGGGGAAGAATATTGGACTCACTGCCGGGCACACGCGGCTCCCCAAGCACGCTGCAGGCCTGACAGTGGTTCAGGAAGTGTGGAGCCGCGACGGACAGCGCCAGCTGCGGCTGGAGCTGTCTGCGGCTCCCCAAGCACGCTGCAGGCCTGACAGTGGTTCAGGAAGTGCGGAGCCGCGACGGACAGCGCCAGCTGCGGCTGGAGCTGCCTGCGTGGGCACTGTCTTCGCCAGTGGCCCGTGGGCGGTTCCTCCTGGCCCGCGCCTCCTGCCCGCCCCCCCCCCCCCTCTGCGAGTCACATCCTCCTCCTCCTCCTCCTCCTCCTCCTCCTCCTCCTCCTCCTCCTCCTCCTCCTCCTCCTCCTCCTCCTCCCCCCCGCCACTCTGCCGATCGCTGCCCGCCATCAAGGAGGGTCCGTCGGACGGACGTGCTGCGGAACTGCGCCCATGCATGTAAAATTACCGTGCTGATGGCCTCCACCGCAGCGTCGCTCTCCCCGAGGCTCCGCCCCAGCAAAACAGGCGACGTGCTTCCCGAATCACCGACAAGGTGGCGGGATAACACTTGTGATCAGCACAGCAACGACGGTCTCGAAAAAATCCACCGCAGCGCCCACTGCAAGGGGCATGGGTGATCAATCTGCCACCCGAACACCCGGATGGGCGAACAGGCTTGATAATTCGGAGACGGGCACGACCCCTCATCACGAAGAAGGAGCACACTGGGGGAGGCAGGGAGGGAGGGGGGAAGGGCACGACAGAAGAGGAGGGGGCAACATCACAGCCTCACCGTGCAGAACTCGGCGTGGTGTCCTCTCCCCGCCGAGCGCTTGCAGCGCCCGCTCCAAAAAAAAATGCGAGTGTCAAGCGTCTGCTCGGGCCCAGGAGGAGGAGGAGGAGGAAGAGGAGGAAGAGGAGGAAGAGGAGGAGGAGGAGGGGGAGGGAGAGGGGGAGGGAGAGGGGGAGGGGGAGGAGGAGGAGGAGGAGGAGGGGAGGGGGGGAGGAGGAGGAGGAGGAGGGGAGGAAGGAGGAGGAGGAGGAGGAGGAGGAGGAGGAGGAGGAGGAGGAGGAGGAGGAGGAGGAGGAGGAGGAGGAGGAGGGGGCAACATCACAGCCTCACCGTGCACAGCTCGGCGTGGTGTCCTCTTCCCGTCGGGCGCCCTCGCCAGGGCTCCACCCCAGCAACAAAAACGACGTGCTGCCCGCATCACCGACCAAGTGGCTGGAGAGCACTGTGGCCTGCATGACAACGACACTCTCCAAGCTCTGGGCGCAGAGATGTCCCCTCGAGGCCTCGAACAAAAATCCAAGAAGCCCCCAAGAGGCCCCCGAGAGGCCCCCAAAGACCCCCAAGAGGCCCCCAAGAGGCCCCGGGAGCCCCAGGAGGTCCCAGAAATACCGCCAAGAGGCCCCCGAGAGGCCTCCTATCGTCTCACTAATCCTTCCCTCTTTCTTCCCTCTCCTTCTTCTCCCCCCTCCGCGTCAACGACCCTCAATCCTCGAACGAAAAGCGCTACAAGAAGTCATCAAGACAGGAATCGAGAGGCCTCCTCCTCACCCTTAGCCTCCCCTCTTCCTCCTCTTCCTCCTCCTCCCCCTCCTCCTCCTCCTCCTCCTCCTCCTCCTCCTCCTCCTCATCCTCATCCGCATCCTCATCCTCATCATCATCATCATCATCATCATCATCATCATCATCACATCATCATCATCATCATCATCATCTCATCATCATCATCATCATCATCATCATCATCATCCTCATCCTCATCCTCATCCTCATCCTCATCATCATCATCAGCATCAGCATCATCATCATCATCATCATCATCATCATCATCATCATCATCATCATCATCATCATCATCATCATCATCATCATCATCATCATCCTCATCCTCCTCTTCCTCCTTCTCTTCCCCGCTCTCCCCCCTCCTCACCCTGCCAACTCTGCTTCAACGAACCTCAATCCTCGAGCGAAGAGCGCTACAACAAATCATCCCAAGACGGCTCCAAGAGCGAGCCTAGACGGGGGACCCGAACGCACATTTCGAGCTCTAGGCGCAGAGAGGTCCCCTGGAGGCCCAAGAGGCCCCCAAGAAGCCCCCAAAAGGCCCCCGAGAGGCCCCAAGAGACCCCCAACCCAAGAGGCCCCCGTGACGCCCCAGGAGGTCTCAGGAATACCGCCAAGAGGCCCAAAAAGAGGCTCCAAGAGGCCCCCAAACGGCCTCCAAGAGGCCACGAACGCGCAGGCAAACGCCTGCGATGGCACAACAAGGGCTGGCGGAGTGAGCGAAGCGATTCCACAAATCCACTGCAGCAGCAGACGGGCGACGACAACCCGGACACGTAGCCCAATCACTCGGCCAAACACTGGACCAACGCTTGGCCACACGGGCGGTCCCAGAGGCAGAGGGCGGCGGTGCTTCGACGCAGGCGCTCTCGCGAAAGAGCTCGGAGGAGCGTGCGTGAACGGACCGCGGCCAAGAAAAAGACAACGCCCAGGGCTGGAGGATCATAAAGAAAACGCGACGCGGGGGGGGCGCTGCGCGGGCCTGATCGACAGGCCACGGGAGCCGGCCCCCGGCCGCACGCCGCTCTCTCGGCAGCGCGCGAAACCTCGAGCGACCAGTGCTTATACGTTTTAGTGGAGCCCCGCGCGGTTTCGCGGCTGCCGAGGGCCAGCCCTGCCCGCTCCGGGCCCGCGGGTTATATAAGAGAGCCCCGGCGGTCGGGCGGTGCCAGCTCTGGGGGTAAAGACGCGCTCCAGGCTGGCAGGCCGGAGCTGCTCGATCCGCGCCGCCCCCTTGGCACAGATCGCACATAGGGCGCTGGCCGCACGGCGCCGACGGCGGCCTCTCCCGCCGCTGCCGGGCTGGGACGAGGCGGGCACCGCATTGAAAAATCACGACGTCGGATCTCTAGGGATGCGCCCATCAGAAACTGAGGGCATCCTTCCTATCAGCATCGAGGTCGGGCGGCGCCAGCCCTGGGGGTAACGACGCGCTCCGGACTGGCAGGCCGGAGCTGCTCCTCCGCGCCGCCCCCTCGGCACAGATCGCACATAGGGCGCCTGCGCACGAGCGCCGACGGCGGCCTCTCCCGCCGCTGCCGGGCGGGGACGAGGCGGGCACCGCATTGAAAAATCACGACGTTGGATCTCTAGGGACGCGCCCATCAGAAACTGAGGGCATCCTTCCTATCAGCATCGAGGTCGGGCGGCGCCAGCTCGGGGGGTATACCGACGCGCTCCGGGCTGGCAGGCCGGAGCTGCTCCTCTGCGCCGCCTCCTCCTCCTCCTCCTCCTCCTCCTCCTCCTCCTCCTCCTCCTCCTCCTCCTCCTCCTCCTCCCCCTTAGCACAGATCGCACGGGCGCCTGCTGCACCTCGCCGACTGCGACCTCCTGGCGCTGCTGGGCTGGGACGAGGCAGGCGCCGGCTCACTGCCGAACGTGTGGGCCCGCGCGGCACGCGTGTGCGGGCGCGTGGGCCGCTCCGGCGGCGCACTGCCGAGCTGGCTCGGGCCCGCGCGGCGCGGGGACCTCGTGCGGTCGGCGAGGTCGGACGGCGTGCCCTCTGGCCGGGCGGGCTTGCCGGTGGCACGGGCGAGGCCCGGCAAACTGGGGGGCCGCTCGTCCTCGCTGGCCATCGCGCTGGCCCGATTGAGCCCCACGCCCGCCTTGGAGGAGTTCGGGGAATCCTCCCAGAGATCGGAGGTCGATTCGCTGTCGCTCGCGTGGTCCCTCATTGCCAGGCTGCCGGCCAGCTCCGCTCTGGGCAGCAGCTCGGGCGGCGCGAGCTGGTTGGCGGCGTGCCAGCCAGACGTGCTCTTGCCGGGGGGAGGCCTGGAGATCCCCGTGAAGAGCCCCCCCGCCTCCTCTGGAAGGCGACGGAACGTCACTGGGGCTGGCGGCTCGGGACCACGGATCCCAAGGGGCCTGCGGATCCCGCCGGCGGGGGGGCCGCCAGGCGGCTGGCGCGGCACGGAGTGGTGGAGCCACCTGCCCGCGCCGGGGAGGAGGAGGAGGAGGAGGAGGAGGAGGAGGAGGAGGAGGAGGAGGAGGAGGAGGAGGAGGAGGAGGAGGAGGAGGGGAGGATGGGGAGGGGGAGAAGGGGGAATAGCAGGAGGAGGAGGCGGAGGAGGAGGAGGAGGAGGAGGAGGAGGAGGAGGAGGAGGAGGAGGAGGAGGAGGGCAGGAGGAGGAGGAGGAGGAGGAGGAGGAGGAGGAGGAGGAAGAGGAGGAGCCACCTGCCCGCGCCGGGGCGCCCGCGCGTCGCCCTGGGAGCCGAAGGCTGCCTCGGCGCAGGCTCTGCCCAAGCCGCCGCCGGCCGCGGGAGCCCCCCGCCGACGGCCGGGAGACGGACGCCCGCGAGGCTCGCCATCCTCTCGGGCCTGGTGTGCAGCGCCGGGTGCCTAGCTCGCCCTCTACGTGCGCCAACAAAAACGGCTTGAGCCAAAAGAACTACGAGAGGAGGAGGAGGAGGAGGAGGAGGAGGAGGAGGAGGAGGAGGAGGAGGAGGAGGAGGAGGAGGAGGAGGAGGAAGAAGAGTAGGAGAAAGAGCAAGAGTCCCAGGACGTTGTCCTAAACGAAAACCTCTCGCCTCTCCGAGCTCAGTGGACTAATTATGTCCACGGAGACCTGAAGCGACGACGCCTGCGGGAAAGGACGACCTCGAACAAGATTTCACCACATTACAGGTACATCATCTAGCCGTCTGGTAACTCCCCCCGAGTGCGAAGCAATGCAGACCGAAGGCATTGCTGACGCGGCCCGTCTCGCCCAGTGGAGGAAGAGGAGGAGGAAGAGGAGGATGAGGATGCGGCGGAAGGGGATGATGCGGATGAAGAGGAGGACGAGGAGGAGGGGTACCCCGGCAACAGGTCAAGGCTCAGGTGGGCGCACTGCGGTGGCAGCCCTGCCACTGTCGCACAGCTGTTCCATCACATGCAGGCTATTATGAAGTGCTCCTCGGGCGTGCGGGGAAAGCACGCCCTTAGTGGCGACCCGTGCGTCCTCAGAGAACTTCTGCAAGGGATTAACATCAGCATGCTCGGGTTGCTTTCGTTTTCTTGCATGGCGACATGGATATCAATATCCCACATGCTTACGCAGCAATTACGCCCAAACCACTTAAGAAGCAAGGGTGGTGAGCGGGTTTCCTAAACCCCAACCAGGCCATCAGAAAAAGTACTGCTGATTCCAGCTCCTCCCATTTTCCTCACCGCGGCTCCGCGAGTCACATCCCGCCACTCTGCCGATCGATGCCCGCCATCAAGGAAGGTCCGTCGGATGCATGGACGCCTTGCGGAACTGCGCCCGTGCACCCAATTACCGTGCTGATGGCCTCCACAGCAGCGTCGCTCTCGCCGAGGCTCCGCCCCGGCAACAAAGGCGACGTGCTTCCCGAATCACCGACAAAGTGGCGGGAAATTACTTGTGATCGCCGCAGCAACGACGGCCTCCCAAAAATCCACCGCAGGGCCCACTGCATGGGGCATGGATGATCAATCAATCTGCCACCAGAGCACCCAGATAGGTGAACAGACTTGGGAACTCGGAGACATGCACGACCCCCCACCCCGAAGGAGGAGCAACATGGGGGAGGCAGGGAGGGAGGAACAGGGAACAGGCCGAGGCACAGCGTCCGATCCGAATGAGGGCCGGCGGGCAGGAAAAAGGGGCACGGGCTAGATCCCTGACGCAATCCCAGAGATCCGATGTCGTGATTTTGTCAATACGGGGTCCCCAGAAGTCTCAACCCCTTCCCCAGGACCGGTTTCTCATCCCGAGTCGTTTTTTGACGGTCCCGGGCCCGGCGAGGGCCCCTCGAGGCCGAAAAATAACAAAAGCCTCCGTCTTGATTTTTTCAGTACGTTGGATCTCTGGGAGTGAGGGCCGACGGGCAGGAGAAAGGGGCACGGTCTGGATCCCTGACGCAACATGGTCCACCACGCGCGCGCGCAGGCCGAGGACCACTGCGGGGCCGCGGCGGCCCGCCGACCGCACCGCGGCCGCAGCCGCTGCCGGCTGGCCGCGTCGCCCCTCTCGCGGACCTCGCGCCCGGACCCAGAGATCCAACGTACTGAAAAAATCAAGACGGAGGTTTTTCCTATTTTTCGGCCTCGAGGGGCCCTCGCCGGGCCCTGGGACCGTCAAAAAACGACTCAGGCTGAGAAACCGGTCCCGGGGAATGGGTTGAGACTTCTGGGGACCCCGTATTGAAAAAATCACGACATCGGATCTCTGGGGACGGCGCAGCAGACATGCGCCAGGACTGCGAGCCGAGCCGCGCCCGGCCTGGCCATTCGGCGCCTCGGCGAGGAGGCCCCCCTCGGGTCCGGGGGGCCTCGGCCGAGCGGCGCAAGGCAGCCGCTTGCCCGAAGGCCGGGCAGGGCGGCCTCGGAACTCGAAGGCCGCGAGGGCCTGCGCGCGCAGGCCATCGCGCGCGGAGCCCAGCTCCCGAGAGGGGCCAGCGAAACAGCAGCACGTCGCGCCCACTGCGCCGCTCGGCTCTCGCCGCCGGGGCAGTGCAGGTGCAGCGGCGTCGGCTCGCACCTCTCGCCCGGCAGCTCCCACGGAGCTCGCGCGAGGGGAGAGCCGGCCGACCTGCGGCACCAAGTGCACTTCGCCCCCCCCCTCTGCACAGCCTCAGGGTCGCGAGCGAGGGGGGAAAGACAGGGCCTCGCCGCAGGGCTTCGGCGGGGCCCGGCAGGCATGGAAGGGGGCCCGGCCTGTGCGGCCACAGACTGCGCGGCCCGACACACACAACCGCGCGTCTCCTTCGCCTCACGCAGCTGAGCTCTGAGGAAAGAGAGACCGCACTTCCAGCGACCCGATGCTGACTGGCTCCGAGCTTCGCAGAACAGGTCAGCCCACAAGCCAGCTCCTCCTCCTCCTCCTCCTCCTGCTCCTCCTCCTCGTGCTCCTCCTCCTCCTCCTCCTCCTGCTCCTCCTCCTCCTCGTGCTCTTCCTCGTGCTCCTCCTCCTCCTCCTCCTCCTCCTCCTCCTCCTCCTCCTCCTCCTCCTCCTCCTCCGCGAACGCCGGCCGACGGCGCAGGCCGACCTCGGCTCGAGAGGCCCGCGCCGAAGAGGAGGGCGTCGAGGTCTCCGCTCGGGCGCGGCCAAGAGGGGGGCGTCCGAGAGGGGGGGGGGTGCAAATCATGACCGGCGGCACGTGCGCGGCCCAGCGGGGGGGGGCCAGGGACGCAAGGAAACAAGAAGAGGCGCCACGAGATCTGGGGAAGCATCATGGCCCCCGCCATGATATCCCCCCCCCCCCCTAGTCATCACCCCCCTCTTTTCCGCCCCCGATCCGCCGGCGGGCGCCCATCCAACCCTCGGGCGCCCGGGGATGGGCGAATCCGACGGGCAGGCCCTGAACTCAAGTCGGGCGCGTCGCCCCTACAAGCGGAGCCTGGAGGAAAAACGAAGAGCATTCCAAAGAGACCAGACAGTAGTCCACAAAGAGTCGAGACATCGTTCCCGGACTATCTTTTGAGGACTTTCGAATCTTCCTCCTGTAGACGGACAGGTCCGACTGAACCCCAAACATATCTCTCCACATGCCAGCGTGCCTGCTGCGTCCCATGGCCAGATCTTCGGCCCAGCGCCGCTGGGCCTCCAGCGCCGCCGACAGATGGTCACGAGTGACTTCCGCGCCTCTCGGGCCATGTGTCGCACGGCCTGCGTCGAAGCACAGCGCTCGGCCCGAGGAGCGTTGTGGGTGGCCCCGGCCAGGGGCCCGAAGATGGCCCGCATGGGCCATCCTGACAACAACTCCTCCTCCTCCTCCTCCTCCTCCTCCTCCTCCTCCTCTTCCTCCTCCTCCTCCTCCTCCTCCTCCTCCTCCCCTCCTCCTCCTCCTCCTCCTCCTCCTCCTCCTCCCTCCTCCCTCCTCCTCCTCCCTCCTCCTCCCTCCTCCTCCTCCTCCTCCTCCTCCTCCTCCTCCTCCTCCTCCTCCTCCTCCTCCTCCTCCTCCTCCTCCTCCTCTTCCAAACAATAAGGCACAAACAGCACAGTCGGGGCGTTGACCTAAGGAACCCTAGATAAGGAACGAGGCCCCTTTTTTTTCCAGAAGTGAAACTTCGATCTCCGATCGAAGACATAAGGAACACCTGAGACAGGCTGTGAGACACTTAAGGAGCACGGAGCCCCTCCCCAACGAAAAGGGTTCCTTCTTCAGGGCCCCGAATGTACGCCAACTCGAGAGTGTCGACGTCGGGAAGGATACCTGTCGCCCTATCCTTCAGCCGCTCGACATGCTCTAGAATGTCGTCTGGGAACAGCTGTGCCT